ATGGAGAGGGTGCTTGTCCTTGGGCTCTTATCGTGGCTTGTCCTGGCGGGCTCGGGGGTGGCACCGACGCTGGAGACGTTTCTCGTTCTGGGGGTGCTGGCGTGGAGTGTACCGGACGTAGCAGTGGTGCAGCTGGTGGTCCAGGTGTCGGCGTTGAGCAGCAGCAGCAGCAGTCGCCGCCGATGTCCGCCCTTCGCCTGCGCGGCCTTCCCTCCTTTGACCGCTCGCCTGCGCCTCCCTCGCCGTCTCCCCCTCTTCCTGTTCACGGTTCTGTGTTCCCTCGACCGGACTCGTCCCCATCTTGTTTCCCCTCTCCTTCCTTTCCTGTTACTCCTCCTCTGTCTCCTGACCCGACGCCTCCGTCTCACGTCTGGTCTCGCCGTCCCTCTCATGCTCGTCCTGTCTCTCCTGTTCAGCGTTCTCACCCTATGTTGCTTTGTTCCCACGTGTCTCGTCCTCCCCCTGCATTTGCCTCCTCCGTCGTCGCTCACTATCGTGCCTCCCCGTCTGTCTGACTACCTCCGTGCTGCTCGTCCTCTTGTTCCTCGGGTCCTTTCCTCCCTTGTTACCGACCCGTCTGTTCCTATCTCCACTCTTGACGCTCTTGTAGCTGCTGTTGCTGACTTTGCCTCTACTCACCGCCTTGACTTCGCTACCGCTCTGGTCTCTGACCCTGTCTATCCTCCGTCCGTTAGGGGTGCTCCTGCCCTCGGCAGTAACGTCTTGGAGGACCGGCAGTACGAGCTTTCATTCTTGTCAGAGGCTGCTCCCCATCTCTGTTCCATGCTGCTAGTCCCTGAGGGTGACCCCGACGCCTTTGACATCCCGACCCCTCGCACCTACGCTGAGGCGACCTCGGGACCCTGGGCCTCTCAGTGGATAGCTGCCATGGAGCAGGAGATGGCATCTTGGAGGGCTACCGGCACCTACTGTACGTCGATGCAGTTCTCCCGCCTGGGGTGAGCGTAGTCGATGGCCGGTGGCTCTTCAAGGTGAAGAGCCCCCCTGGAGAGCCGCCTGTGTTCAAGGCGCGCTATGTGGCTAGAGGCTTCTGTCAGCGAGAGGGGGTGGACTTCTTTCAGATCGTTGCCCCGACCCCGAAGATGACTACTTTTCGGGCGCTGTTACACGTAGCAGCACAGCGTGACTACGAGCTTCACTCCCTCGACTTCTCCACTGCTTTCCTTCAGGGCAGCCTACACGAGCAGGTCTACTTGTGCCGCCCTCAGGGCTTCACCGGTACTTTCCCTCCTGGGACCCAGTGGCTCGTCCGGTGCCCCGTCTACGGCTTGCGACAGGCACCCTGTAAGTGGCACGACACGCTGCGTGCCACACTAGCTGACCTGCAGTTCTTTCTGTCCTCTGCTGACCCTTCGCTCTTCGTTCGTGCTGGCCAGACTCCGTTCTACATCCTGGTCTACGTAGACGACCTGGTCTTTGCTAGTGGAGATAGAACGCGCTGGCCTCCGAGAAGGCTGAGCTGCTGAGGTGACACACCTACACTGACCTGGGAGAGCTGCGCCGCTACCTTGGCCTGCAGATCTCTAAGGATAGAGCAGCGCGCACCATCACTCTTACACAGTCACACTTGGTGTGCCAGGTCCTTCAGAGGTTCGGTCTTCAGTTCTCCTCCGCACAGCCCACAGCTCTGCCGATAGACCACAGGCTCTCAGCGTTAGTTCTCGAGGAGTCAGCAGAGCGCAGTGGTCTTTACGCGGAGCTGGTGGGTTGCCTCATGTACCTGATAACTTGCACTTGCCCAGATCTCGCATACCCTTTTAGCATCCTGGCTCGCTTTGTGGCCACAGGCAGACACCGACCACAGCACTGGTCGGCCGCTAAGAGGGTTTTGCGTTATCTTGCAAGTACATCGGGCATGGGGTTAGTGCTAGGAGGACGGAGGCCAGTGGTCCTTACTGGGCACACAGACGCTTCTTGGGCAGACGACGCTGAGACCCTCCGGTCCTCCCAGGGCTACTGCTTCAGCCTTGGTTCTGGTGCCATCTCGTGGAGGTCCACTCGCTCCGCGTCTGGTGCTCAGTCTTGCTGCAAGGCTGAGATGTACGCCGGTGCCATGGCGGCACAGGAGTTCCGCTGGCTGACCTTCTTGCTTGCCGACTGAGGTGAGCGGCCTAGCTCTGCCCCGGTCCTGTACGCTGACAACAGGGCCATGATCCTCCTGTGTTAGGAGCCTCGACTTGAGGGCAGAGCGAAGCATATTCAGCTGCGGTACTTCCTCCTACGCGAGCTTCAGTAGCGTCGCCAGGCCCGCGTAGTACAGTTGGCCTCGGGCGCCAACACAGCTGATATCTTTACTAAGGCGCTTGCGCCTAAAGATCATCAGCGGCACTGCTTGCAGTTAGGTCTAGTCCCAGTTGACTCTCACTTGCTAGGCCCTTGATTGTGTACTCCTTTCTATTTATGCCTTCCAGACTGGCCTTGTGGCTTTTCCTCGAGTGGTTGGACTAGTAGTGCCGTCGTGGTTTGCTCTGTCTTGCATGTACTCTTGCTAACTGGTCTTCGGGCCCCTGCCTCAGAGGTTGGACTAGTAGTGCCACCCTGAGCTGCATGTTTCTTGTTTAGCACTACCCGTTATCTAGCCTAGGGGGTGTGTCAACTTATTCATATATTGTTATGTAGAAGTTATAGGCTAGATAGGGTATGTTCTTAGTGGGTACAACCCAAATGCTATATCTCTTCTGTTCTCCCTTCTAATCATTCTTTCTAGTCTTAACAGTGGGTACCCTCGGACCAGGTACAGTCACATTCGGTACTTGGGGACTATTTATCATGCAGGCAAGTGGCTGTTGTAGATCACATTCATTAGGAGGAGGGGTAGTGTAAGGAATTTTCATTCCTTATGAGCTATTCTGTTTATCGTGTACACTCGAACACGCGTGAACCCTCGGATCGGTTCCGGACCTTTAGATCCGAACTTTCGACCCTAATCAAGACCTTCAGATCGAATCATCGGGAGTTCTCCAGGCCTCTTGAGGCCCTTCGATCCCTTTCTCGACCCTTCCCATCTGACGGCTAGGATAGCTCGGGTGTTCCTATATTTTGCCCCACCACTCATTGTATCGTTATTCAGTTATTCACTACTTCGCTATCTCATTCTACGCTACTCTGTAAGTTCACCCATAACACTCTTAAGTCTATTTTTGATATCTCATGAAGTGTCTATTTGTCATGGAGATGCTTATACTAGGGAGGCTTTCAAGGCTACTGCATCAGGGCCCGGGTATGGGGATTTCGAACCATTTGTACGCGTTAAGGATGGGGGTTCGGGGTTCAAGAAAGTCTACTTGTGTCGCCGACCTCCCCCACGCAACCTTCTGCTGTTGTCCAACCATGTACAGACAGGTCTTCTGGGGTGGACTCAACCAAAGAAAACAGCGATTCCCGTTCGAGCTCGCATCACCAGGCTGCGAATTCCCGTTGCAGAAGGTACTAAAGGTTTCACCATTCCTTAACGTTTCTCTCACCGGAGAGCTTGAATAGTGCTTACCGGCACTTCCCCAGCGTTTTCTCTTGTGGCTCCTCCGTTTCACCTTACCAAGCCCGCTCAAGGTATGCGCATCGCGCACGCGTCTCCCGTCCAGTATTCATGGCCCATTCTCGTCGCGCGCGTGTCACATACTCGTCGCACTCTCACACGCTCCCCGCGTGCCCGCTGTCGCATCGTTTTTCCCCATCGCACGCTGTCGCCGTACCAATCGCAGCCTTCTCGAATCAAAATGTGCACCGGCAGCTGTGACTGACGGCGGCTGCCACTGCCCGGTTTCGTATCATGGCTCAGCTCGCCCTCGTCATTGCACGCGCTCCCCCCGTTCCCTCGCTCTCCCCCTCTTCTCCTTCCGTTCTCCCCGCGATCACCTCCTTCCCACAACCCCCGACCCTCGTTCTCGCCCTCTCCCTCTCACCGTCGGATGTTTCTCTCCCGCGTCGCAGGTCCCTTCTCACACGCCGCACGCAAGGCCGCTCGGCTGCGGAATATCCTCCGCCCCGCCTGCGCTGAGTGATCGGGGGGCAATGGCGCGCGAGAGGGGGCGCGCCGGGCCGAGACACGTGGCGTTCACGCGGAGCGCATCATGCGGCAGCGGCGGTAGCGCTGCTCGCGGCAGTCCGAAGGGCCGCGCGGACAGGCGGCGGCCGAACATTGCGCTTCACAGCGGCGCATTTGGCGGGCGAGTGCCCGCGGGCGCGGAAGGCGCGCGCAGCGTTGGCGCAGCACGGGGGGCAGCCGCGGAGGGGCACCGCGGCGGCAGAAGCAAGCAGTCCCAGTGGAGGGGTGGCAGAGGCGCAGCAAGCGGCGCAGGTGATACTAGTGATTACGATGGCGCTGACGGTGACAGCAGACGTGGCAGGTTGGTGCTGGCGGAGATTGCTGCCGCAGCGCGAGTGAAGCGAGAGGCAGCAGCGCGACGCACGGCAGGGGAGCAGCGGGGGAGTGCGAGGGAGGAGGGGAGGGGCGACAATGCAGGGCGGCAGAGGCGGGAGGTGGGCAAGGCAGGTGACTTGCGTTTGAAAAGAGAAGTGCGGCCGGACGGCTGTGATGGCTGCTCGGAGCAGAAGAGGTTGCCTCCTCTGAAGGAGCAGCATATGAGTGAGGCATGTTTGGACTGTTATGAGCGAGAGGCACAGCCAGATACAGCAGCAGTGCAGGCAGGAGCGGGAAGGGCAGCAGCAGTAGGAGCGAGCACGGATGCTGAGGAGGAAGAGGAAGCGAGCAGGAAGCAGGCAGAGGCAGCAGCGCTCCCTGTAGTGGCTCTGGCGCTGCTGGCGCCGCTGGCCCGCGAGGGGGAGGATGTGGCACGTGGCATGTGCGTGAGCAGGGAGTGGCGGCGCTCCCTCACTCACTCCGTGCGCTCCTTCGCCCTCCTTTTCGACCCCCACTCCCTCTCCTGGCACCCCTCCTTCCGTGACCCTGAGGCATCCCCTTTCACCCACCACTGCAACCCTGCAGCGCTCCAGCCGCCCCTGCTGGACCCCAGCAGCAGCAGCAGCAGATGGGGGGAGGTGGTGTGCTCGGTGCTGCTTCAGTCCGCCATGCCCTTCCCCTGCACCACCGCACTGCAGCCCGGCAGTGTGGCGTCCTGGAAGCGCGCTCTCTCGCGCTACCCCAACCTCACTTCCCTCCACCTGCCGCTCATCCCCTCGCCCCCGTGGTCCGCCTTCCATCCCTCACACCAGGACAGCACCCGCTACCCGCTCCCCTGGGATGTGCTCTTCTCCCACTCCGATATAAGCACCCTCCTTTGCAGCCTCGGCCAGCTGCCGTGCAGCAGCACGCTGCGCTGCGTGCACCTGCAGGTGGCTCTGGACTGCCACACGCGCCAGCTCATAAGAGCCAGCCCGCACTGGCGCTTCCAGGTGTCCCTTCGTGGCGGTGGCGAGCCGGCGTTCCCTCAGCGGTACCACAGCCGCGTGGAGAAGCGCACACTGGCTGAGGAGGAGAGGGCGGTGGAGCGCGGCTTGCAGCACGTGCTGCAGGGGTGCCCCAAGCTGCGCGCGCTGCACCTGCAGGGCTTCAACCTGCACTGCGTGCTCGCCCTCGCCCCCGCCACCCTCGCCTCCTTCTCCCGCCTCACGCACCTCTCCCTCCCCCTCCCCGGCGCCATCCCCCCTCCCATCCTGCGCCTCCCTCGCCTCGCCTCCCTGTCCTTCGCGCTCTGCCTGGAGGACCCCTCTGCGCTGCCCGCCTTCCAGCGCCAGATGGACTCCCCCGCCCTCTTCCGCCACCTCTCCTCGCTCTCCTCCCTCACCCTGCTCGCCCGCCGCTCCTCCTCCTCTCTGCCCACCTGCCCTCCCTCCGACATCTCGGCGGACCTCTTCCACGGGGTGCAGCCCACGCTGTGCTCGCTCACGCTGCTGCTGCACGAGGCCAACGTGCATGCCGAGAGTGCCTCCATCTGGGTGCTCTCCCGCCTCACCCACCTCACCACAGATCTCAACGTCGCCCTCTCCTCCTCCCTGATGGAAATCGTGCAAATCTGGAGAGAACTAATTAGAGATTAAGTCTGACGACCTCAACGAATCATTGCGTGCTGCTCAGGTAACTTATAGAAATGAGCTTATACGCGTTGGAAAGGTCTTAATCTCTACTTTCCAGAATGGTAAAGCACGTTCATAGCCAAGATCTGAGCCGCCGATTATGACGAAATCAGTGTGAGGGGGTATTCTGGTAATTTGGCTAGGCAGCCATGAATCACCTAGTAAAAACGAGAAGGGAAGCAGTTCGATCTGGAAAAGTTGCAGTATGTGATTGTCAAACACTACCAACCCTTGCCCTAGACCAAACCCCAACACTCTCAAGTGCCATAACTGCAACATCAAAGATGTTGTAGTGGATTTGAGGTTGTATGGGTTGGAAAGGTAACGAGTTCAAACCTTGCCAACCAACCCAAGTCCTTTTGCCCAAAACCCAATAGCCCACAACCAGCTAGAGCAAACTACACCACAGAATACTACACATTTATCACTCCCCCTTGCTCGTGCTGGGTGTGGCTCAACACCATAGGGCAAAAGACTTCACACCACTCCCCCTTGCTCATGGGTTGGGGCCACCCAGAGCATGGAGTCCGCCCAGGAGAGGAGCACCAAGACGCCGGCATCTGCTGCGGGAACCCTGTCATCATGGGGCTGCATCCCGAGCAAGGTCATGCACACACCATGGCACTCAAAGGGAAGAGACTTGGTAAGAATATCAGCAGCCTGACGGTTGGTAGGGCACCACTGCAAAATCACCTCACCCGCAGCTACCATCTCCCGAATGAAATGCCACCGGACCTGCATGTGTTTGGTGCGGCCATGCAAGCATGCATTCTGTGCAAGGGCAATGGCAGACTAATTATCCACAAACACAGGCACACCACCAGCATGATCATGACCAAACTCCCCAAACAAACGCCTCAGCCAGACACCCTCCTGAATGCACTGACACAGACTTATATACTCACTCTCAGTGGTAGAGAGTGCTACCACGGGCTGCCTCTTGCTCTGCCAAGAGATAGCTGCCCCATTCAGACAGAACACATACCCACTGTGGCTCCTGCGACTTGCGGAATCTCCAGCATAGTCAGCATCACTGAAGCCAACTAGCTGGACCTGAGACTGGGGCTGTGTTTGGAAGAAGATACCTGACTTGACACCACCTTTCAGGTACCTCAGCACTCTCTTAGCGGCCTGCAAGTGAAACATTTTAGGACAAGAGGCGACCTTAGATAGCTGTGAGACTGCTAAGGCAATCTGTGGCTGTGTGGTAGTACAAGCATACATGAGGGATCCCACAATGCTTTGGTAGAGCTTGACCAGCTCATCTCGCAGCAAGGGTTCATCCTCATAGGCATGCACATCAAAGCCTGTTGGGAGAGGAGTACGCACGGGGTTGGCCTCTGAGAGACCAAAGGACTGAAGCATGTTAAGAATGTACCGCTCTTGATGAATCAAGATACCACTCTCATCACGTTCAATTTGCATTCCCAAGTAGTACTTCACCTCCCCCAAGTCCTTCATGCGAAAACGCGAGGACAAGAACTCTTTCACTCGATCTAGCAAAGCCTTGCTAGAGCATAGGAGCAAAAGGTCATCCACATAGAGGAATAAGGAGATCCGCTCCTCATCTCTCACAAAGTGGTACAAGGCAGGGTCACACTCAGATCTCTCAAACCCAAAATCCATGAGAGCCTCATCAAATTTTAGGTACCACTGTCGTGGGGCTTGCTTTAGCCCATAAATGGACTTTTTGAGGCGACACACTCGGTGAGACCCATCATCAAAACCAGGGGGCTGCCGCATGTAAAGCTCTTCCTCCAAATCCCCATGGAGGAAGGCTGTCTTGACATCCATATGATGGATATCAAGCCCCAAAGCAGCTGAAATTCCAAGCATACCTCTCAAGGTCGCATGCTTCCCAACTGGAGAGTACACTTCTTCATAGTGTACTCCCAATTTCTGCGTGTTTCCCATCACCACCAATCTGGACTTAGGCCTCTCAACAGTACCATCAGGGTTATGCTTGTATTTCCAAACCCATTGACACCTGAGGACCTCCAAACCAGGTGGTACCACTGCTGGATCAACCAGCTCAAATGATCCATTTACCTTGTGAGACTCAAGCTCCTCATGCATGGACTCAACCCATTCTGGACGGTTCAGCGCCTCGTGGACTGACCTAGGCTCATGCACCTGACCCATTAGACACACATCAAGAGCATACTCATGCCCATGCATGTCCACAAGCATGCAATCATCCAAATCAGACACAAGATGATCATGCATGCGTGCAATGTGCCCCGGGGTAAACCTTTCAGGTGGCTGGGAAATTCGAGCACTGCGTCGCAGAGGTGTTGCCTCTCCTTCTTCCAGCCTCCGCAGCTTCTCCTCCCAAGTCACCCTCTTCATTGGAGTCCTCGGAGTCTTGGACAGCTGCTGGTCCAACAACTGCTGCCAACTGCTTCTCGATGGAGTTGAAGGCACATGCTGCTCCGGCTGATCATCACGCGCATCGGCTTGCGTGGCTGGCTGAGGGGTAGAATCTGTCTCTCGGGACTCCTCATGGTTAGGATCAGCTGGTTCTGGCTCCTCCTGCTGCTCCTCCCCTTCATCTCCAGGGTCCTCCCATGCCCCCTCAAAGATAGAAGCCGTATGAGGGTCTTGAATGGAAGTCCCACTTTGGCTTGTACCATGCTCCTTCCACCCCTTAAAATTCAGCCCCTCATGGAAAACCACATCACGGCTCTCCATCACACGCTGGTCAGCTACACTCCACAGCACCCAAGCCTTGCTCCTCTCAGAAACCCCAAGGAAGATCCCCCACTGTGCCTTAGGATCTAGCTTCCTTCTTTGCTGGTCAGGTACCTTATACTGTGCCATGCACCCCCACACTCGTGCCATGGAAACATTCGGCACCTTCCCTGTCCAGAAGGAGTATGGGCTCTTGCCTCCAAGCCCCTTGCTGCCCATCCTGTTCTTCACCCAGTTGGCATACTGCACTGCTGCCCCCCACCAAGTGTTATCAAGCTCGGCATGGGAAAGGATGGCCCGAGCCAAATCGGTCAAGGTCCTGTTAAGCCGCTCCGCTGCCCCATTTTGCTGCGGCGTGTAAGGTACAGAGAGCTGGTGGGTAATACCCTTTTCTTCCAAGAAGGTTTGAAGTTCTTTCCCAAGGTACTCTCCACCCCGATCTGACCTTAACACCTTTACCTTGGCCCCTGATTCCCTCTCCACATAGCGTATCCACCGCTTAAACACCTTTGCCACCTCATCCTTGGTCTTCACCAAGGTGACCCAGCTAAGTCGACTGAAGTCATCAAGAAAGGTGACAAAGTACCTGCTGCCCCTTTCCCGGTCAGGAGTTTGCATCGGTCCACACACATCCGTGTGCACCAGCTCAAGGGGAGTCGAGGCATGATCAGAGGAGATAGGGAATGAGGTTCTAGGCAGCTTTCCAGACGTGCAGTTGGGACATTTGCTCTGCTGCCCAGCTCTTTCCTTGACCTCCACCCCCTTCAGCTCCCCCTTCTTCACACACTCCAGCAGTTGCTGCTTCCCCGCATGCCCCATGCGAAGGTGTAGCAACTCAGGTGACACCGTTTCCACCTGCCTCCAGCGAGTGCTACAAGCGGCTTCCTCAGAAAAAACCATATGTGCCTTGTAACAATTAGGCACACAAGCTGGAACAAGGTATAAACCCTTGTCCAGCTTTGCCTCCATCACCACAGCTTCACCCTTTCTAACAGTACACCCTCCCTCCGTGAAAGTGCAGATGTATCCCTGTTTAGCCAGCTGCGAGCATGAAAGGAGGTTTGCAGCCAAACCAGGGACGTGAAGGACCCCCTTCACACCCACTAGCTCCCCCTCCTTCCCCTTAATGGTGATCGTGCCGATGCCAATTGCTTGCAGCAAATCTCCGCTCCCAACAATCACGTTCCTCGAATTTGGTGGGAGAGGATGGTAGGAGGTGAAGAGATCACGGTGAGGAAGCATCCCAGATGTTGCTCCAGAGTCTAGAACCAGGAAGTTAGGATCAGCCAATGCACGACCAGCGAGAGCTGCATCCTGCCCTAGCATGAGAAACGAGAAACCATCATCGGAGGAGTCGTCTTGGCCCTTCCCCTTCTCATCCTTAGCAGCTGCGGCCGTTGCTCCCTTGCTGCCCTTCTTATTCCAGAGCCCCTTCTTCATCCTTTTCTCCACCCAATCAGGTTTGGTCACTGGTGGGGCCTCTCCAGAGTAGCCGTGAGGCTTCCATCCCTCAGGCCTACTCCAGCAACTCTTCCAAGAGTGTTTTTTGTTGCATCCGGGCACAAGGCATTTGTCCAACTCTTTCTTCTTCCCCCCACCTCCTTGCTGTTGATAGCCTTTCCTGAAGGAAGCTTTATCTGCTGCACCCATGCCTCCTTCTAGGCCTCTTCCAGCATCAACCTTGCGAGCCTCATCAGAAATTAGAACCTCCCAAATCCACACCTTGGTCCATTTCTGTTGCTCGAGGTGAAGGTACTGTAGTAATGCCTCATTAGCCGCTTGATCCAACCCTTGGAGTGCAGTGTAGATGATCTCCTTCTCATCTACCGTGTAATCCAGCTCCTCCAAAGCCCTCACATTCTCATCCACCCTCTGGAGATACTGAACCATGGTCTCCCCCTCCCCATAGTTCCGCTCCATGGTGTAAAACCGCTTCCGCCAAGTAAGCACGCTTAGAAGCCCTTTCTGCAAGTGCCTATCTTGCACTCTTTTCCAAGCTGCAGCTGCTGCACCTTCCTTCCCCTTCAGGTCAATCAGCATCTTAAGAAGCTCAAGTTGCCCCTCCAAAGCCCAACACAGGTACTGAAATGCCTGGCGATCCTTCCGATCCCATGCTTCTTGAGCTTTGAGCAACTCCTCGCGACTTAGTTGCGACCTTCCGGTTCGAGTTGCAGCGGTTCCTCCTTCATTCCCCCCACTCAACGACGCTCCCCCAGCCCTGGATCCCACTTGGCTGGTTGCTCCAGTAGACGCCTCCCCAGAGTCAGCTCGTGGTCGCTTCTCCGATCCATCCAACACACTTTCTAGGTCCTTAATACCTAGCCATAGTGTGAACTGGAACCTCCATAGCGAAAAGTCCGAGCCGGTAAACCTAGGAGGGCCATCCAACTTTTGGGCCATGTCAAACCCTAGATCTGGAGCACTTCAAGCCTCTCTAGATCTCTTCCAATGGAGGAAAGAACGTCCTCTAACCGTGGCTCTGATACCACTGATGGAAATCGTGCAAATCTGGAGAGAACTAATTAGAGATTAAGTCTGACGACCTCAACGAATCATTGCGTGCTGCTTAGGTAACTTCTAGAAATGAGCTTATACGCGTTGGAAAGGTCTTAATCTCTACTTTCCAGAATGGTAAAGCACGTTCATAGCCAAGATCTGAGCCGCCGATTATGACGAAATCAGTGTGAGGGGGTATTCTGGTAATTTGGCTAGGCAGCCATGAATCACCTAGTAAAAACGAGAAGGGAAGCAGTTCGATCTGGAAAAGTTGCAGTATGTGATTGTCAAACACCACCAACCCTTGCCCTAGACCAAACCCCAACACTCTCAAGTGCCATGACTGCAACATCAAAGATGTTGTAGTGGATTTGAGGTTGTATGGGTTGGAAAGGTAACGAGTTCAAACCTTGCCAACCAACCCAAGTCCTTTTGCCCAAAACCCAATAGCCCACAACCAGCTAGAGCAAACTACACCACAGAATACTACACATTTATCACTCCCCTCCCCCTGTCGCAGCCTCCCCCGCACTTCTCTCTGCCAGCGCCCACCTCTTCCTGCCACATGCGCCCAGCCTCCACCCCCCCCCCGTGTCGCAACTCGGCCTGCCATCCCTCTCGCGCCTCACCTCGCTCTCCCTCTGCTCTCTCACACGTGTGCCCGCCGCCCTCGCCCTGCTCTCCTGCCTCTCCCGCCTCAAGTTTCCGCGAGCCTCAGAGGACCCTCACAGGGCCATCCGCGCCCTGCCCCGCCTGGCGCACCTGGAGTGCAGCGTGCTCAATCTGCGCCATGTCTTGGCCCTCCGCCCCTCGCCCTCCTGCCGCCCTTACTGCTGCGACTGGCAGAGCAACCGCAGTGATGAGGCGAGCAGTAAAACCAGCACAAGCAGCAGCAGTAGCGGCAGCAGCAGCAGTATTGGCAGCAGCCGCAGCAGCAGCGGTGGCAGCAGCGACAGCGATGGCAGTGGTGGCAGAAGCAGCGGGGCTGGAACATCATCCGCACATCCCCCTTTCCCCCACTGCTCCTGCTTGCACCCATCTGAAGCACCAAGCCACCGCACGCGCGGTCTCACCTCGCTTGTGCTGCATGCAAACCCACTGCTGCCCGCCAGCCATGCCCACATCGGCCATGCCACGTCTTCCCGCGCCCACTGCTACCCCACACTGCGCCACCTGGAGCTTGATAGCCTCACCTCCTGCCACTGGCTCTGCCACAACCAAGCTGTGCCGCCCGCCCTCTCCCTCTTCCCCAACCTCCACACCCTCATCTGCAACCCCACATCGGCCAACACAAACGACCCGGCCCCTGAGCCTGTAGACGTGGACCTCGCCCTGCTCCCTGCTCTCACCCGCATCTCCGGTGGCTTCCAGCTGTGCCGTGCGGACCGCATGCTCTACCCCTCGCTGCACACAGCAGTGCTCACCACTGACAGGCAGCGCTTTGGGGGTCGTCAGGGTCGGTTCTGGCAGCCGGTGCTGGAGCTCAGGTCCCTGCGCACTCTTATTCTCTCCCACTGCTTCCTTGACTCCGACTCTGGTTTCCCGTTCTACTATTGGAATAAGCCCCCGCCTCTCAGCCTACTGACGGACCTACACACCCTGCAGGTCTCCCTGGGCCTTAACTACCGTAATCCCCCGTATAAAACACCCGCCGGAATTAAGCTCCCCCGGGTAGCTTGAGCGGGTATGGGTGTTTAATTTAACTGGATTTAGTTACCACCCTACCCTTGGCCTTGAAAACATTTCACCACCCCCCCCCTTGGCCTTGAAAACATTTCACCACCCCCCCCCCGAGATGAAAAAACGTTTTTTTCTACGTTTTCCTGTATACAACTTCTTGAATTAGACGTTAGCAATACAACTAGAGTACACGTAGTTACTACTCAACAGAATTAACCATAGAACTAGTTAGTGGCACCACCTAGGGCTTGAATTCTACCTATTGGCTCTGCCTAGAACCTAAATTATCCACTACACTTTAAATCCTTACACTACGCCAGATACTCATGCCTCTGCCACTGCTCTAGTCGTCCTCCTCAGGCTCCTCATCACCAGCCTGCCACATCTCGACGTCGCTCCCATCTGCAAGCTCATCCCACCAGCAGTTGTCGTCATCCTCCTCTGCAATGCCTTCTGCCGGCCACACATCAACACTTGCTGCTGCTGCTGATGCAGTCTCTGCATTGTCTGCGCTCGTCTCAGCTGCTTCGGTTGCCGCTTCAGCACAGTCGATGTCGTCAGCCGCCAGCGACGCCGCATCCGCCTCTTCGTCGTCGGCGACGTCCCCGTCCACATCGATGAAGGCGTCGTAGAGGGGGTTGATGTAGCCGCTCTCGCCCTCCTCGACGTGGACATCGTCCATCACCTCGAGGTCGGGCTTGCCGCGGAGGTGGCGGAGAGCGAGGTTGTCCTCGGTGCCGTCCAGCGCATTTGATATACCGCACGTCTTGAATGAACTACGCACGAGCTCCTCTGGCACAGCCTCCCATGACCGAGCAATCCATTTCAAGATGAGCTCAGCCGGGGGCTTCTTCAGATTTCCTGCACATGGGATGGGAGCATAATGGGAGGAGAAGAACACGGGCACGGTAAGATGACGACTAGGAACGGGCACGGTGGAATTCGTCAACAAGCAAGAAGTCTAAAAACTACTGAGGAAGCGACTAGGAAGGGGCTCACCTGCCGCAGTCTTCATGTCGATGCCGAACTGCTCAAACCATGCGCCGTAGTCGCCGCCCACGCCGGCCTTGAAGCTCTTGTTCACTGCGACGTCCAGCGGTTGAACGAGAGGCGTGCAACCACCTGGGATGACCGCGCGGGTAAGTTTGCACAGCTTCATCGTCTGCCCGACTGCTTGCGTGAGGTGGCCCTTGTACGAGTCCAGGATGACGAGCGCCTCCTTGCGCCTATTCCCCGATTCGCGCAGTGGGCGCAAGAACGGGTTCAGGACTTGAGTAGTCCAGTCCTGGACAAGCTTCTCGTCCATCCAGCCCTTCGGCTGGGCTCGGATGATGACACCTGGATACAATCACAAGCCACAACAACAGTCAGAGGGTATGCATCGGTGTACACTATGCACAGAGCGAAAAGCAAAGGCGATTCTTACCCGGGGGAACCTGAATCTTTGGCAGCGTCTTCCGCTTGAAGATGACATACGGCGGGAGCTTCAATCCCGACGCGGTGACTGCCAACATGACGGTGAGCCGCTCCTTTTCATAGCCGGCCGTCCTCACATGCACCGTACGGGAGCCTCTGTGCTCCAACGTCCTCTCCTGGGGCATTTCGATGAAGAGGGGGGTTTGGTCGGCGTTCACGATGTGGTCGAGGTTGTACCGGTTGAGAATCCGCATCTGTTTGACAAACTCCCAGAATTTCTCGATCTTCGTCCTCATGTCTGCATAGAACAAAACAGTCAGAGAACAAATTCAGGCATGAACACGCGATAAGCAAGACAATCAAAAGAATCAAATATTGAAAGTCGCGGCAAGGGAATCAATAACAAGGATGGGACGGCAGTTTACCGTCGGCGAGCTTTTGCCCCATCTTCGTCTTTACCCGACGCGTAAGGCCCCAGCGCGCGCGGAATCTGAACGTCCAGCGACTCGACGCTCTCCAGTCGACGTTGGGATGATGTACGCGCATGTACGAGCGACTCCACTTCTGCAGCAGCTTGACGGAGACGGCAAGCCCCCTCCCGCGGTGCCTCAGGAACTGTCGGTAGAGGGCGCTCTCCATCGTCGGGTACTTCGCGGGACGTCCGGCACCGACGAGGCGTTTGCGGCAGCCGGCGGCGACACGGAGGCGTTCGCGAGCATTCTTCCACTCCCGAATTGACACCGGCTGGACACCTGCAAGCTTTGCGAGTCCACGCACAGAGAGGTCGGGTTGAGCATCGAACATGGAAAGCCAGTACAACTTCTCCGAGGCAGAGTACGAGCGGCGCTTCCGCTTTGTCATCCTGCTTCGAGATGCGGGGGCATGGACATCGTGATTCAAGGTAGGACCACGGGGTCGTCGAATGGGCTCCGGGAAACTCGGCACGCTGACGCGCGGCAGGGGACGACGGCCTTCCGTCGTAGTGGCGTCGCCGCTTGCAGAATCTGTCGCAGCGGCGTCGCCGCTTGCAGAATCTGTCGCAGCGGCATCGCCGCTTGCAGAATCTGTTGCAGCGGCGTCGCCGCTTGCAGAATCTGTCGCAGCAGCATCGACGCTTGTAGAGTCTGTCGCTGCGGCATCGCCGTCGGCAAAGGACCGACGAAGTAAAAACGTCTGCTGGCCATAAGGGCCCTTTCGAGTCAGAAGGCGAGACAAGCCAGAGCCTGAGGCCATGGCGGGGGGACGTTACAGAGACGGAGCTAGAGGATGCCTTAGACAGCCCTTGCAGGGGCTGTCTTGAAGGCATCCTGGAGTCGAAACTGAAAATGAGAGGACGGAGCGGGGTAGACCCACTTCAAGAGTGGGTTGGAGGGGAAGGCAGGGACGTGGGCGACTCCCTCGTCCATGTCGCCCATGAAATGCCTCTCACGACCATCCAGAATGTGTGATTCCGTGCGCTGGCCGGTCGTGAGAAGGCATCGACAAAATGTGCCGTTGATTTCGCCACCCCATGCTGTGCTGGCACAGCGTGGGCTGGAGGCATCAACGTGGCTGCCTGCAGCACAAGCTGATTGGCTACTCTGGCAGCATACTGAATCAGCAGCGTACGTAGACGATGTGGCATGCACATGGACCAAATCGTTGGGTACGCGATCAGATAGCAGAATGGGACTCAGAACAATGCCCTGTCACAAGTACAGTTGAATTCAAATCAAAAGTAGCATATGCACATTCCATAACTCCTGGGTGCTGTATTTTTTTTGCCTTTAATTACACCCAACCCAAAATTTCGTTGCATTTTTATTAACACCATAGGGTGTTTTATACGGGGGATTACGGTACATGCCTGATTCCAAGATGCAGTTATTCGGGGGCAACTGGCCGCCGCATCTGCGCTGCTTGCGCCTGTGCGACTTCCCCCTGGCCGACGTGCCTTGGACTGTTATGGAGTGCCATGGCTTGGAGGAGCTTCACCTGATTGGCTGGCCGCATTTAAAAGCACTGCCGGCAGGATTGGCAGGGTTGGAGCGGTTCAGGGTGGTGAGGGTGAGCGGGTGCGAGGAGCAGCCCGCTGTGCCCGTTGCCAAACTGGAAGTGGGTGCATGTTGTACTACCGCCTATTGTTCTATACGGTATCTGCAAAAGGTTGGTGTTGCGCTAAATTTACACCGCCAGGGTATCGTAAGGTGAGATTATCAAAGTGAAGTGAATAATGATAGAATAGAGAGAGTACAGGTGAATATACCTAAGTGTTGTAACCTCTAAGAGGTGGGCCTATACAGTCTATGCAAACATAGGAGATACACATGTTTTACACACCCCCTAGACTGCATAGGGGCAGGTTCTGAACAAGCAGCTCAGGGCGGCACTACTAGTCCAGCCTCTAAGACAAGGGTCTAAAAGACCAGTCAGAAGGAGTACAGACAAGGCAAGAACACGACCAGGGCGGCACTACTAGTCCAGCCACTGGGAGAGGACACAAGGCCAGTCTGAGTACACATATAAAGGACAGGACAAAGTCAAGGCCCTAGCAAGTGAGAGGCTACAGGAACTAGACCAAGCTGTACACAGTGCCGCTGATGATCTTTAGGCGCAAGCGCATTCGTAAAGATATCAGCTGTGTTGGCACCTGAGGCCAAGCGTACTACGCGAGCCTGGCGTCGCTGCTGTAGCTTGCGCAAGAGGAAGTACCGCAGCTGAATATGCTTCGCCCTGCCCTCGAGTCGAGGCTCCTGACACAGGAGAATCATGGCCCTGTTGTCAGCAAACAGGACCGGGGCAGAGCTAGGCCGCTCACCTAAGTCAGTGAGCAAGAAGGTCAGCCAGCGGAGCTCCTGTGCCGCCATGGCACCAGCGTAGATCTCGGCCTCACAGCTGGACTGGGCAACAGACGAGGAGCGGGTAGCTCTCCAGGAGACGGCACCTGAGCCAAGGGTGAAGCAGTAGCCCTGGGAAGACCTGAGTGTCTCGGCGTCGTTTGCCCAAGAAGCGTCTGTGTGTCCAGTAAGGACCACTGGCCCACGTCCTCCTAGCACTAACCCCATGCCTGATGTACTAGCAAGATAACGCAAAACCCTCTTAGCGGCAGACTAGTGCTGCGGTCGGTGTCTACCAGTGGCCACAAAGCGAGCCAGAATACTGAGAGGGTATGCGAGATCTGGGCGAGTGAAAGTCATCAGGTACATGAGGCAACCCACCAGCTCTGCGTAGGGGCCGCTGGCCTCTACCGACTCCTCAGAAACTGGAGCAGAGAGTCTGTGGTCTACAGGCAGAGGGGTGGGCTGTGCAGAGGAGAACTGAAGGCCGAACCTCTGAAGGACCTGGCGCACCAAGTGTAACTGAGTCAAGGTGATGGTGCACGCTGCTCTGTCCCTGGAGATCTGCAAGCCAAGATAACGGCGCAGTTCTCCAAGGTCAGTGCATGTGTGTCTCTTCAGCAGCTCTGCCTTTACTGAGGCCAGTGCGTCCCTGTCTGCTGTGGCAAAGACCAGGTCGCCGACGTAAACAAGGATGTAGAACGGAGTCTGGCCAGCACGAACGAAGAGTGAGGGGTCTGTGGAAGACGGAAAGGACTGCAGGTCAGCAAGGGTAGCACACAGCGTGTCGTGCCACTCACGAGGAGCCTGGCGCAGGCCGTAGACGGGGCGCCGCAGGAGCCAATGGGTCCCAGGAGGGAAGGTGCCAGTAAAGCCCGAAGGGCGACGCAAGTAGACCTGCTCGTGCAGGCTGCCCTGAAGGAAGGCAGTGGAGAAGTCGAGAGAGTGAAGCTCGTAGTCACGCTGAGCAGCTAGGTGTAACAGAACCCGAAGAGTAGTCATCTTCGGGGTCGGAGCGAAGGTCTGGAAGAAGTCCACCCCGTCACGCTGACTGAAGCCTCTAGCCATGTAGCGCGACTTGAACACATGCGGCTCTCCAGGAGGGCGCTTCACCTTGAAGAGCCAACGGCCATCGACTACGTTCACCCCAGGCGGGGGAACTGCGTCGACGAAGGTGTCGGTGGATCTCCAAGATGCCATCTCCTGCTCCATGGCAGCTATCCACTAAGATGCCCAAGGTCCCGAGGTCGCCTCAGCGTAAGTGCGAGGGGTCGGGATGTCGAAAGCGTCTGGGTCACCCTCAGGGACTAGCAGCATGGAACAGAGATGGGGAGCAGCCTCGGACAGGAAAGCAAGCTCGAACTGGCGGTCCTCCAGGACGTCACTGCCAAGGGCAGGAGCACCCCTGACAGACGGAGGACAGGTAGGGTCAGAGACCAGAGTGGTGGCGTAGTCAAGGCGGCGGGTAGAGGCGAAGTCAGCGACCGCAGTGACAAGAGCGGCAAGGCACGAGACCGGAACTGACGGGTCACTAACGAGAGAGGCGAGGACACGAGGAACAAGAGGACGAGCGGCACGAAGGTAGTCAGACAGAGGGGGACGCGCAAACGGGAAGAGGAGGAGACGGCCGAGGAGGAACAGACGCAGGGTCAGGGGATGGAAGGCCAAGCAGGCGAAGGGCTGACACCGGCGGGGACTGCTGCTGCGGCGGCACAACGCCGACACCGGGACCGCAAGCTGCTCCTCGGCTACCACCGGCACTCTCCACGCCAGCACCCCCAGAGGGAACACCCCCAGGGTCCGAAACCCCGCGAGGACCGGTACCACCACCAGGGCTACCGGGACTAGCACGCACTCTAACGTCAGCACCCCCAGAGTCAACGAACAGGTGCTGCGACGGCAGTGACGGCGGCGGCAGCGACAACGACGGCTGCGGCGGCCGCGGCGGCGACAACGGCTGTGACAGCAGGGGCGATAGCGGCGCCAGAGGTGGTGGAGGAGGGGACGCCTGGGAAGGGGCAGCCGGCGAGGACTGCGCCGCAGGACCACGAGAGTCAGAAGACTCAACCGGGACCACCGAAGGAAGAGGGGTCACGTGGGATACACCAGAAGGGGCAGGATGGGGAGGAGGAGGGGGGGGGGCAGGGACTACCGGGGAAGGAGTGACCAGGAACAGGGGGGGGGTACCTGGGGGACCGCGGTGGGGGAAGCGACGGTAGTAGGAGACGGACTCGTTAAAGGTGACGTCGCGAGAGTGAAAGAAGCGGTGAGACGGCGGGTGGTAGAAGTGCCAGTCGGACGCGTCAAGGGGAAAACCAAGGAAGACGTAGGGAAGGGTGCGGGCAGTGAGCTCGTCCGTGCCGGAGGCACGGACGTGAGCAAGGCAGCTCCAGACGTGGAATGCAGACGCGTCACCAGGAGACCCAGTCCAAAGACGGGTCGGCGAAACCTGCGGCT